TCCAAGATTTCAGGTAATGTAGTAACTAATTATTTTAACACCAGTTACTATCGTGTGACAGGCTGTAAAACCCAAATGTTTTCTGTGTCATTTAGCAAAGAATAAGGAAGAATGCTCTGCTACTCCATCCTGGACCCAGTTTCTGATCACCCACTCAGTTTCAATGCATCCAAACTATCAGTTCACTCATTCAGCCTCACCTCAGCTACCTCCCTTTGCATCAAGAGATGAGTTTCCGCCCTGACCGGTGTTCTTGGTGGTTAGAGTTGGCCTGGGCCCCGCAGGGTCTTGGATTCGATTCCGCGGGTCTTGGATTCGATTCCTGATTGAGGGCACGTTTGATAATCCTAATTTTCCAGAAAACTCTGACTTTTCTGTTTTCACACAATTTTAATTCATTTTATTTTAAATAAAAGAAAATGCTATAATGCTTAAAATAATTATAAAGATTAGATGACTTTAGTGTTATGGAAGATTTCAAGTGATCTACAAATACATGGCCAAACAGCAATACACTTAGATTTTAAACCCGATTCCTTAACTATTTGGTATAGTATAGTCTTGCTTTGAGTACTAGTCAGAACAAAAAGGTGAGCAAAGGCCATTCATAAAACATGCATTTTTGAGGAAAGAGAATGGCCCCTGAAGGTTTCTTGGGAGCTGGCCCAGGCATGTTTATATCTATTCCCTGTAAGGATTGTCAGACTTAGCATATCATAGTTATTCATAAAGAATTGAGACCCTTGGTTATCACTGACTTTGGCAGAAGTACATTTGTATATTCCTCCCTTGTAATCACATAGTCATTCAATTAGAGGCAATGAGTGTGCCCACAAGCAGAAAAAGTTTTATAAACATTCTATGATAAAAAAGAGAGCATCACAATCCAGCTTTACCAGTTTCTAAAATACTTCTTCCTTTACCCACCCATTACTTTGTTATCTCTGAAACATCTGAAAAATACTTTTCTGTGACTTACTAGGCTGTAGGGAACGAACACTTTTAGATACGTTACAATGATCTCTAGCAGAATTTGGCATCTTTCTCCCATTAACATTAACTGAATGTCTCAACTTGATCTTAAAAGAAGGTTGGCAATTTTCAGTTTTTGGGCCTCTTTGAGGTTTTGGATGCTCTGTATCAGCCTGTCCTTTTACGTTCCTATTTTTGGATTTCTTCCTCTGTCCATTTAGCAATTTGTCTGGAGGTGAGGGCGTAGAACGTAAATGATATTCATCTGGGGATCCTTTCTGTCGGTTTGGCTTCATTTGTTCTTTGTCCACCTCTTTTTGAATCTGTAGTGCTAATAACCTGTCCTGTTCTTCTTGCTTACGTCTCTCAAAAAGTAGATGTTCCAAATCTAAGAGTTTTTGAGTAAAGCTGGTTTCTGTTTCCTCTTGGTCTGAGGAAGATTCGGAGGACATTTTCCTTCTTTTTGCAGAAAAGCATGGATCCCTGACTGCTTCAAAAGAAGACTCCTGATTTTTTCTTTTGCAAATATCTTCTTCACTGATCAGTAGGCAAGACTCTTCATTTTCTGTCTCAACTGTGTTATTTCCAATTATCTGGGTCATATATGATAGAGCACACCCACTCTTTGTTTCGCCACAAGGCTTAACTGCAGCTTCTCTAGGGTAGGGGACTCTGGCTTCAGGTCTCTCAGGATTTATGGCACATAATTCTTTATCATGATTGTTTGGTCTCATTTTGACTTCTCCTTCAAGGCATCATTCTGTATCACTGGCACATAACTGAGGCATAGGTGACTCTATTGAAGACTTTGCACCTTGTTCTTGAATTTCAAGGCATATTTGCAGAGAAAGTGTTGGCATATCTTCCTCCACTTCTGTGTCTTGCCACATAGGGCTCTTTACATTGCTACTATCAGTTTCCTGGAGAAAACAGAAAAAAACTCAGTCAACCAGAGTTATACATCAAGTCTTACATATGTCTTACACTGATACCATAGTTGAATTGTCACTATTAGGTAGTTCTTACTATCACTACTAATAAGGTATATTGATTTTAATAGCATTTTTATTGTGTGCCAGTTGAGATTAAGGCATTCCCTCATTTTTACTCCCATGAAAACCTACAGATTAAAACCCACAAACTAGCCCTAGCTGGTTTGGCTCAGTGGAGAGAGTGTCAGCCCGTGAACTGAAGGGTCCCGGGGTCAATTCTAGTCAAGGGCACATACCTGGTTGCAGGCTCAATCCCTGGCCCTGGTTGGGGCGCATGTGGGAGGCAACCAATCAATGGGTCTCTCTCATATAGAAGTTTCTCTCTCTGTCTCTACCCCTTCCTTCCATGCTCTCTAAAAATCAATGGAAAAATATCCTCAGGTGAGGATTAGCACCCCTTCCCCCAAAACTAGATTCTCTATATAGCCAATAGCTGGCACCATGACCTGACCTCTTTTTTTATCTTATAAACTTCCAGTAGCCCAGGGATTTTAAAGTCCTTTTTGTACCACCAACTCTCCTCCCTTAGGCATTTTTGTGAAGCTTATAGACCTCTTCTAAGAACAGTATTTTAAAATATGTGTATATAGGATCACAAATAAAACAATTTATATTGCAACACATTTATTAAAATGTTAAAAGTTATGATGCAACATATATCTATAAATAAGATTCAGTGGCAAGTCTAATAACTTATAATACTGACGTAGGGATGAGTATAAATGATACTTCAAGAGATTTACAACAAATATAATATGATAAAAACTCATCCTTTCACTGAAACCGGTTTGGCTCAGTGGATGGAGCGTCGGCCTGCGGACTGTAGGGTCCCAGGTTCGATTCCGGTCAAGGGCATGTACCTGGGTTGCAGGCACATCCCCAGTAGGAGATGTGCAGGAGGCAGCTGATTGATGTTTCTCTCTCATCGATGTTTCTAGCTCTCTATCTCTCTCCCTTCCTCTCTGTAAAAAATCAATAAAAAAAATATTTAAAAAAAAACAACAACTCATCCTTTCTATTGATGACAAAGTCATAGGTACCATTAAATGTATTATAGTTTGCTGTCTACATTCATAATTAAAGAAAACACTAAAATGAGAGGTCAGACAAAAGTAAACTTTTTCTTCCATCTAAGTTCTTATGTACTCTCTGGTTTCTAACCATAGACCTTCGGTTGAGAACCCTTGCTTTGGCCAATATAATTCTTCTCACTTATAGGTCTTAGGTAAGTCAAGACCCAGGATTAGTTTTGACCATGGGAAAGCCTTAAGAAAGTCTTCAATGAGAATTTGTCTAAGAACAAAAATGATTCCTTGTTGGAGACATTCTGTTCTTTTAACTTCTTTATTCCTCACCCCAGGATATTTTTTCCATTGATTTTCAGAGAGAGTGGAAGGTAGAGAGGGTGAGGGGGTACACAAAAAGGGAGAGAGGGAGACAGAAAAGGAGAGAGGGAAAAAGAGGGAGGGGGAGAGCGAGAGAAAGAGAAACATTGATACGAGAGAGACTCATGGATTGGTTGCCTCTTGCACACAGCCCTGGTTGGGGCTGGAATCGAATCTGCAAACCCAGGTAGGTGCCCTTGATGAGTCGATTCTGGGACCCTTTGGTGTGCAGGCCAACACTCTTAACTGCGGAGTCACACTGGCCAGGGCTCTTTTACCTTCTTTGCTTTTGCATTTATCATTCCTGATAGCATTTCTTATAAACCAATGTGGATTGGATTGAACAAATTCTAGGTTGCTTACCTAGTTTTGCTGTGAATATGAACAACAGGGTAGAAAAAATATCCCAGCCCTACAGTGCCTCTTCCATCATTCCTCAATGCAGGTACCAACCAGACTATCTGGACTTAACTCCTCCATTACCTCTACTTTAAGGGACTTTGGGCAAGTCTCTTATCTCTGTGTGCCTCAGTTTTCCCAGCTATAAGATGGGCACAAGAATGATACCCACATTACAGAGTTGGAGGTTGTGATGAAGATTTAAAGAAAACACATACATTATCTGGCACAGTAAATGTTCATAAAAACCACCTACCTAAATTGAAAAAAATAAAGAAGAAAAGGAACCTGTGAGTAAAGGGTTAACAAACCTTTTATGTAGGAAAGAGACCTGGGTGTCAGCTCATTTTTCCTAGTTCTACTTACCTAGAAACCTGATAAAGGTGGAATGTCACCTGTGTTATTAGGCCACATAGCTTATAGTAAAATGACCCTTATTGCTGAACTGCATTTGAACTAAAACTATAAGTGATCTACAACACCAGGAAGTCAAAGCATGGAGCTTCTGTAAGTGACTTATAACTCCTTTGGGTGTGTTTCTGACGGGGACTCCTGGAAGTTACACCCATAGGTTGTTACAATAAATGACTTTCAAGGGTCATGAGGCTTCTAAGCCAGAATGGTTATCACAGTCATCTGTGTGGTATCATTTCCAGGCCATCACTTAAGAGCTCTGCAGTGAGGACTCTTACTGAATTATATGCCTGATGGTGCCCTACTAGCATGCTTTGTTTCCTATCCTGTAATCTTTAAAGTAAGTTGGTACCAAGGATAGCCTATTCAGTTTTGTGAGTTTGATTGCCTGGGATCCACAAACTGTGGCCCATGAGCCAGATTCAGCCTGCTGTTTTTGCAAATAGTTTGACTGGAACAAAGACAAGCTCATTTGCTTACATGACAACAGCATAATTGAATTGTTGTGACTGAGACTATAAGGGCCAAAACCCTAAAATATTTACTATCTGGCCCTTTACAGAAAAAGTTTGCTTATTGACTCCTAGTCTAGGTAAGTGTAAAATGACTAAGAAATGGTGTCCCATGTATTATGGTGACTTAAGAAAAAAAAAGTTAGGAACCTACAAGTATTTGCAATCTATAGCATTAGTAAACATGCCAAACTAAGAACATCTTTAGCATCCACATACCTTAGACATGGACTTTTGTTTGCCTTCTTGTACAACTTCGGACTGTGATGCTGACCCAAATTGAGATTTAGGTGACAAATACCTTTAAAAAAAAGTTTACCAAAGTTTGAATGCTTTGAAAGAGAAGTGGTATGTACCCAACATAATAAAGCCACTAGCTATTTATGCTGAAGGTTGTCTGGTTGCCTGAATGATTTATCAGAAAGAGCGTAGTCTATCCCCTTGTCTCAGATATTTTAGTCTAACTCCAGAGCATAACTTAAAAAGTTGAGTATTGATATCTTAGGGAAAAAGAGCAGAAAAGCATGTAAAATCTAAAATTTCTTAACTCTCAAAAAAATTTAAAAAGGTAGATAGCGCCCTGGCCGGTTTGGCTCAGTGGATAGAGCATCGGCCTACGGACTCAAGGGTCCCGGGTTCGATTCCGGTTAAGGGCATGTACCTTGGTTGCGGGCACATCCCCAGTGGGGAGTGTGCAGGAGGCAGCTGATCGATGTTTCTCTCTCATCGATGTTTCTAACTCTCTATCCCTCTCCCTTCCTCTCTGTAAAAAATCAATAAAATATATTTTTTTAAAAA